TCCTTCCCTTTCTCCGTCTCTTCCTTCTTTCTTTCCTCCCTCCCTTCCCGTGTCATGAAGCAAACACACTGCCACCAAGCCATACTGTAGCCTGTTCTATTTCTCGAAGGGAAACCACTAAAAAAGCAGATTCAATAGATGCAATTTCTCCCCGGTGTTAATATTTCAAACCTTATCTATATTAAAAAATTATGCATTAATTAAGTGCATTACGTTTCCTATGCTAAAGTTCTGTGACAGCAGTGAGTGATAAGTTTTATCTTAGTCACCTCCATATTCCCAGGCCTCGTAGACTTCCTACCACAAAATGTATTCAAATATAAATCATTATTTTAAATATGTGCTTCCACTCTATGGGATCTGTCAGACAGGTAGCTGGGCAGCACACTTCTTGTGGAAGAGCAAACAGGAACTACTTTCACCTTTCTGGGTCACGGGTTCTGTATCACTACTGCTCAATTGTGCCATAGCAAAAGAAGCTCTAGACGCTTCAACAAGAAACCTGGCTGTGTTCCAACAAAATTTATAAAAAACAGAAGGAAAGCTGCAGATGGCACACGGGCTGGAGTTTGCTTACCCTTGTGCTAATGAAGTGCCAAACCTCACTATAACTTGAAAACAAACAAGCTGCTTCTTTCAGGCTATACAAGTTCCACTTCTTTACTTGCTAATGTACAATATCATCAATGAGCTAAGATAAAAAGTAGCAAAAGTCGATTCTTTATAAGATATCACATGATAAAGTTTGAACATTTAAAAAAATATGAATAATATTTTTTAGGTGTGGCTAGTAACGTGGAAACCATTGTGATGGGTAGTTTTCTCAACTTGACACGATCTAGAATCAATCACTTGGGAAGGAGAGATGGTCTAGATCCGGTTGGCTTGTGGATTGTCTTGAGTACACCGAGGTGTGAAGACATCACTGTGGGTTGTGGCAGCATTCTCCCTAGGCAGGGGATCCTGGAGTCTAAGGGTGGAGATACGTGGCTGGGAGGCACGCTTTCATCCACTGCTCCACGTGCTTGACTCTGGATGTAATGTGACTAGCTGCTCTAAGCTCCTGCCACCAGGACTTCCCTGCAGTGACTGGAACCTAGAATTGGGAGCCAAGGAAACTCTTTCTCCCTCCTGTTGCTTTAGTCAGGGTATTTTATCACAGTGAAAGGAAACAAAGCGAAGACAATCCTAACGTGAATCCATAGCTTCACAAAACTTTAATAATCGCAAACTTACAGAATCCTTAAAGATGCCAGGCCTCGAAACGTGTTTTCCTTTATTTGGTAGATCTGATTACGTTGCAATGAGCTAAAATAAAGATGGGGGAAGAAAGAGAGGGTAGAGAGAAGTAATGAAGGACAAGGAAAAAGAAAAAGATTAACTTCTATTTTAAAAATAACATTCTCTACTGAGTTTTTTTAAGTTTAAATATTCATATGTAACACTGATCTTATTAAAAATAAGAACAGTAATTTTTTCATCTATAAAATGAAAAGGTTACACTAACTGATATTCCACCCCAAGTTATATTGGGAGTTTACTGGTACCCTACTAAATTCCTAGCAGTCTTACTTGGGTGCAAGAGAAGAAAGATAGTATAGTGAGAAAGGATTCAAGACAAAGAAGTTGGGGGGGGTTCACTCTGCCTCTCATATTGCACCCAGCTTTCACCTGAGCTGCTCTACCCTGGCACACTGGATTACTGGATACTGGTATTCCTATCTACTTTCCAACAGTAGGCAGAACATATTTTTCTGTTTTTAGACATAACTGTCCTTCCCTTAAAGCATCTAATAGAATGTCTGCTAGATGGTCACATAATAGTCTTTTCCTAAGAAGAAAGTAAAAATTGTCATTAACAGCAGAGTTAGTTCTACATCTATGAACACACCTTAAAAATATTGACATTACAGAGCTAATGAACCAGAAAAATAGTCTGTAAACACACTTAAGTTGTGCTTTACTAGAAACCTAAAGATTAGATTAAACTCATTTCATCACATATTTCCCCAGTAACAGAAAAACTTGACAAACATGTTTGCAAATCATGAAAATAAAGGCCTATTGAAAGCTCATGTCAGACATGATGAAATTTTACTTCTGATTTCTTCAAATAATTTATTCAACATAGGATATACCACATCAAAGTGCAAGTCAATGGCCAACTTACATTTCTTCAAGAGCATGGCATCCATTAAAACTTGGAAGGTCTCTTATATTGTTGTAAGACAGGTCCCTAAACACAATAGAGATTAACAACTTAGTGTCTTCATTAGGATACTATATTAAAAGTGCTGCACCCAGAGCAGGGTATGGGGTGTACACCTTTAATCCCAGCACTCAGGAGGCAAGGCATGTGGATCTCTGTAAGATGGAAGCCAGTCTTGTCTACATATTGAGTTCCAAGTCAGCTGGGGCTTCAGGGAGACCCTGTCTCAAAACAAAGTGCTGCACCCAGAAACAATGAAAACGAAAGCAGCACGAGATCTTCAAAATGAGAACAGCTGAGCAAGAAAAGCAAGCTCTGCTGTACCTGCTGCTTGCAGGCTTCCAGAGCACCTTGGTGACACCTTAGGCTTAAGATCTAGAAAGCATACAGTGCTGAATGTAGGCAAGATAAAATATGCCAAAATATGAAATTATATAGCAAATAGCTAAGGCATAAAAAAGAGCTTTAAATCTATTTTAAATGGTAAAGCTATAAATTTTTAGAAAATTTATTTTCCAATATATTTTATGATGTAAACATGCTGTTCTTTAAAGTACTTTGATAGAAATGGTATGCTTACATCTTTTAGAGTATTTACATAAAATAAAATGTTAGAGTAGTTAAAATTCAGTGTCATTGAATTTTCCCTCAATGGTTACTATCATGTTTTATGTTTGAAAATACACTATACCATTTAATTAGTGGATCGGTCATTTATTTTGTTATCATCCCTTTTAACTAGCACTTAACAAATCAGTATTTAATCATTTGTTCTGGTAATGGTTTTACATCCTCATATGCTCATTTATAATTTCTAGGTCAGCTTAGAAGTTTTAGAAAACTACAAATCTGTTCATTCTTTTTTTGAAAGGTCTCCCTGTAGTTCCAGCTGACGTGGAACTCCTGGCTGGCCTCAGTCTCACAGAGATCCACCTGCCTCTACCTCCCCTCCCAAGTGCTGCATGCACCACCACTCCCGGCTTAGGTTATGGATGAAAAAGAAGAATATGGGGAATTAATGTGCATGTGGAAATGAGAACAACTAAATAATCTCTTAGCTTACTTTGCTCCAAATAAAGTAACAAAATCTATAATATAAGGATAATATCTACAGAGAGAGAGAGAGTTCTGGAAACCGAGTTAAAAGATGCATGCTGTCTACCCTATAAAGTACTAAAATTCCTGCTTATTCACATGAAGGGAACAAACAAGAAATAATTAAACCTCAAAGCACCTTAGGAATATAATTCATCAAAAATAAAACTGAAGGTCTGTAAAGTGCACAAAACAAAGAGAAAGGAGAAGGGGAGGACAATCCACTTACAAAGTCCTGAGCATCTTTTGGTTCTGGCACAAATTCTCAGGTATGCTGCTTATCTTTGTACCTGTCAAGGTCCTATGGAAAAGCAATTGATCGTCTAAGAAATAGTTCATGTCAGGACAGTAAACATATTGTGACTCTCATATTCATAATGAATTCTTGCATGTTATATGTAACTAGAGCCTGTGCACCGCACTGCCCAACTACCACCTAAAGTGAGGCATGTGGGAAGGTGGATTAACTCTCAATACATCATCTTTACAGTAATGAAAACAAGCTGTGGCACAAGATGTTAATACTGTCCAGATGATGGGCTTGATTTCCACAAGCACCAAAAGGAAAATAAAAATTCATAGTCACAGCCCAGCGACACTCAACTGCAACCTGTCGTCTTTTCTCACACCAACACATTTCAAAACAACTCAGCATCCTGCCCAAAATACTGTTTCTGCCTTTTCTTTCCATCAACCTGACTCCAAATTCGGAAACATTCTTGCTCTTTTCTTTACCTATGCTCCCATTTGTAGTCAGTCACCAGCTCCTGTTATTTCTTTCCCGGCAGTATTCTAGCATCTGACCCATTCTCTCCATGTTACTGCTGCTCTGCAGATCAGGGGTGAAATATTCCAGAAAGCAGTGAAAGAATCTGACCATGCTGTTTGTTCTGGGGGAGCACCAATGATGGACTAAAAACCAGGAGCATGTGTAGTTCAGTGTGTGCATGTGGTCAACTGGATTTGATCATAGCCTCAACTCTGCTCTGTCTTGTCTCTCTGTACCTTGCTCTCCTCACACTACCTGGTCAAATATTCTCAACATGCACAAATGACCTTCAGGACCAAACTGAAACTCCTCAGTGCTTCTCAACTTTTTCTTTTCTCCCTACTATCTTAGCATATATAAAAATCATAACACTCACATGGCATGTGATAGCAAGACTTATACAGATAATGGCCCTGGCTGCTTCAGCCCTTACCTGGCTATCTGGAACAAGATCTTAGAAGCACCTGAACTCTGTTCACAAACCACTGATTAGGAACTTTGCTATAATCAAATATGCAGGGGTCAAGACTTGGTCATTTAAAAGTCTTGTCCCAAATAATTTTCCAAATTTTTCCATCCCACAGCTCCATAAACATGCAATTTACTTTAAAAATATTTTGTTATTTTTATATTTTATGTGTTATGAGTGTATTGCCTGCTGGGGAGAGGGGTGTCAGAAGAGGACGTCAGATCTCCTGGGACTGGATTTATGGATGGTTGTTAGCTGCCATGTGGGTGCTGGGAATCGAACCAGGGTCCCCTCCAAGAGCAGCCAGTGCTCTTAACTGGTGAGCCATCTCTTCAGCCCCAATAAATATGCAATTCTTAACTATATTCGATCATCTGTATACCACTTCAGTATGTTTTGGGTATCCCTAAATTTACTAAAACTAGCCTTTTTAAGTAAAAACTCCGCTTCTGAGGAACCTGGCAGAATTCAACTTTCAAACATTTTATCATCTCCATGAAGCCTTTTCCATTGATCTATATCATTGGGTCCTAGTTTGGAATTTCTTAATTACTGCCTCTCCATTGCTGTTCACTTGCTGCTTTGTATTTTCGGTGGCCTTTTCAGATCTTTTGTCCAAACGAGACTGCACTCCACCAGAGAGCTACATTATCTCAAGCTAAATACATCCATTTCTGTGCAGGACATTCACAAAAAGTGTTTGGAAGAACAATCACAAACCCATCTCCATCACTAAATAGCACCAGCATCCTGCTAGCAGACTGAATTGCAGTGGTCTTACATGACACCTCTTTAAAGTGCCATACTTACAGGCTTTCCAGATGGACAGTTCCAGTCAGATTGGGGAACCACTGCACCATGCTTGCACCACGTATGACTCTTTAAGAAATTGGGAGAGAAAAAAAGTGATTTAAAATTAACTATTTTTCTCACATAACATTTTCATTTTATTTTTATTTTGAAATTACAATATTACTATAACCAAAAAGTAACTAGTTTCATCTCTTGAGGAGACGTGAAAATGAGATAATTTGGTCAAGTATTCACATAAATGTGAATCACTATAAATTTTTACTCATCCTTTGGACCACCACCCCAAAGAGGAGGGAGGGGATAAAAAATGACATTTTTTTCTGCAGCTACAATAATATAAATTCTTGTTTTTCATTTTAAAAGCTGAATAAATATTCAGGTGTGTTTTGAAACTTGCATAATACTTACAAGGAATGCAGATCAGATAGATTATGAAATGCTGAGTTCCCCACAAAAGACAGAGGATTATCATACAAGTGTCTGTAAAAATATCCAAAAAAGGTAATGTTTTCATATGCTTAAACGCATTCTAAGATTAAATCCATGTTCCCCATGTACATATCAAAAAGCCTGAATTTTTGCTTTTCCTACAGATGTTTGGCAGTTTCCAGATATAGCTGCATGTGATTATACATTCAAAGAAACTTTCAAAATTACTTACATAGTTCTTAAGAGTGGATTACCACCAAATGCTCCATCGGGGATAACAGAAATAGAATTACTGTGAAATCCCCTACAAAGACAGGAGAAAAATACTTTGAAACAAGTTAAAACCTAGGTGTCTACTGCTGTTGAGAATTACATAAAACACAACTGATAGCGCTAACATAAACACCTTGAAAACTGTGAGGAACCTGAATTTTGAATTCCATGTCGTGTTTTCCAGGACTTTGCCTAATTCTTTCTAAACCCACTCCTTAGCCTGTTATCTTATATGTCCCTCATATTCATTTATCTGTTGCCTCATCATCAAAGCACTTTATACCATGAGGATCTACAGGGTACTGGCCTCCAAATCTCCTTATTGGAAGCTTGTATTTTATCTCTGTGGTATGAGCTTTCAACTCATGACACACAATCTCTGTTGTGCATATACATTCTTATCTCTGCTTATGACAAACCCAGCATCCAAATGCTCCCTTTTATTTATTTAAATTTTCCATCCTTTAAGTCTGGCCAAATTCCTTTCCTTTTAGTGATGCATTTTCCAATGACCCCTAGCTTCAATGAGATCTTTTTCTGGAATAAATAAGGTGCTCTTATTCATTTACCATTACTTTCTATCTAGAAACAGCTATCTGCCTGTATTCATGCTCTGCCTTTCCAGTGGGACTAAGACTGCAAGCTCCTCCAGGCAGACTACAACTCGTGCCTTTTTGTTTCAGTAGCATCTGATCCTATACAGTAATCTATTCTCGCAACCATTTCTGCCAGCTACTACAATTTGATTTATGGGCTGAGTATGTTTATGTGTGCTATGGATGTATGTAACAGGCTGAAGGTGCTCTAAGATCTAATTGTTGGAACATTAAATGATAAGTTGTACAGATACTGGGTGTAAAGAGAAAAAAGCAATACTCACAGCTCTTTTAGGCTCGGAAGGGCTTTAATAGCCCGAGGAAATTCCTCCAAGTTATTATAATTCAAGTCCCTAGGAAAAAATGTAACAAAATATGTAAGAATACTGAAGAGTAGACATAATTTATAAGACATTCTGGCACAAATACATGTAAAAGATCACAACCTATAGTTAGTAATCCTTCTTTACCAATGACATTGACTCATTCAAAACCTTATGAGTTTAATTTATAGCTTTTAGAGAACAACAGGAAAAAAACTCATCTTCTATGATATTTTTAAGTCAATAAATTTCCAAGTTCAGAGAACTGTCAGACTTGTATACACTGAAGGATTAAACACAAATTTTTCAAATGGTATTTCTCAGAACATTTACCATAAAATAGCATTTAATGACTATGTATAGATGACTATAGCATAAAACTGGGGCCTCCATTTGGAGTGGAGATGATTTCTTGCAATTCTGGTATGAGAACAGGAGACACGGGAAACCTAGAGAAGGACCAGAGTTGTTCTAATGCAGGTTATGAATTATTGAAAATCTTACATTCATTAGGGGAGAGAGACACCACAGTGGTCTGAAATAAAGCAAGCCTAGTTCTGAGTGAGTTTAAATTTTAATTTCTCTTAACATAAAGAGTACACTGGCTATGATTCATGCAGCTAACTACAGAATGAGAGTGAAAAAAAAAAAAGTCCAGCTCCTTTGAAATCTACTGTTTTCTTTTTATACACAGAAAGAAAAAAAAAGGCAAATAAAAATAAAACTGAGGAGAGATTTTTTTTTTTTTTTTTTGAGACAGGTTATCACTGTAGCCCTAGCCGGCCTGAAACTCACTATGTAAACCAGGCCAGCCTTGAACTCACAGAGATCCACCTGCCTCTGCCTTCTGAGTGCTGGGACTAAAGGCGTGCACCACCACACCTGGCCAGACTAGCTTTTTTATTTGCCACAGTAGAAAATTACACATCCAGCAAAGGAGACTTGAATTTAGGACTATCTTCCTCAAGATTTTAGTTTTTAAATATTTTAATTTTGAAGCTGGAGAGATGGCTCAGCAGTTAAGAACACTGGTTGTTCTTGCAGAAGACCCAGGTTTGAATCCCAGCACCCACATGGTGGCTAACAACTGTCTGAAACTCCAGTACCAGGGGATCCAACAGCCTCTTCTGTCCTCCATGGGCATTGCACGATACAGGTGCACTTACCTACACACAGGCAATAATACACACATACACATAAAATAAAAATAATAAATAAATATTTAAAAAAATATTTTAACTTTTAAATATCCAGCGGCATCTATCATTTAATTGTTTATACAAGAAGGTGGATTAATAAAGTCCTGTTAAGTCTTGAAGTCTTCTTGGTAGCTAAAAGTTAACCAGAAATTTCAGACAACCAGAAATTTCAGCTAAACAAAATACTGCAAATCCAAAGCCTTTCAATTAGGCCTGAGTCATCCAAATCAGACATTCTCTGAATCACTTTACTATATCACAACAGTAAGTATCACTTATCTTGAATAAAGGCAAAAAGGCAACTAATATAATCAAACAGCAAAAGTTCTATTTTTATAATATTCTTAAATATTTTAAAATAGCAAACCATTCTACTCTCAATGACACCCAGCTGCACATGGTCTGTTATTATCAGTTGTGCACTATGCATCCAAACAGCCAGATCTGCCTGGTTCAGCCAGTGGGAACAAAAGTCTCATGCAAAATTTAAAAACCTTCAGCATTTGAATGCAGATGTACTATTCCAACCCAATATAAACAATTACCTAGGCAACTAAACTCATGGAAAAAAACAGTAAACAGCAAACTATCCAAAATTCATTTCGGAAATGTCAAAGTTCCAAACGGGCACAATTAACAAAAATCAACATTTTTGACTGATTCATTCTTTGCAAGTTGAGTTTTTTGGGGAAGAGAGACATGAAGGTCACACTTAAGTGTCAGTTTGAATCATAAATTTAAATTATTTTTCATAACTGCGTTATTTGGTGGTGAGAATTGAGTCCGATATTAGCATTAAAGCAAATTAATAATGAGCTACATTTGAGAGCATGTTCTTTTATCTATATTGAAGTATGAAATTACACTTGTCCTTTCACAATGTGATTATCCAAGATATGAATATACTTACAAAGTTTCCAGGTTATCTAGTCCATCAAAACAATTTTGACTGAGGCTTTTAATTTTATTGTTATGAAGATGCCTATGAAAAAAAGCGTCAAAATTACTTCCACATTGCCAAAAAGCAGCTGCTACAGTTGCTTAATATATCTAAATTGATGTGGCTGAAAGAAATGGTATAGCTAAGGATTTCAACACTTACTATAGAAAACTGATAGTTCCCTGCAGATTCCCTGAACACAAAACACTGATATTAAGGGGAAATGTAATACAAAAATGGCACCACACATTGAAGGTCACTCAATATTGATTCATATCAAAATAAAGATTTATATTAGCTCTTCATTTGTATGAAGCAGAATGTTGGTGAGTTTGCTAAGGTAACAAGGTGTCAATGATACAGTTTATATCTCTGAAATTGGAAAGAGATTCTAAAAGAAATGACATCTTACCATGTCTTACTAAGTTTTGAAAAGATTTAAAAGCAGAAAACCAAATTCTTTTTGAGTAGAAAAGTTTGAAAAATATAAAACACCTTTGGAATTTATTTCTGTAAGCATTTCAAAATTGTTTTACTTCTTTTAACACTGAATAAACAAATTCATTGTTGGGACAGAAACAAAAGTTATGTAAATTATTTGGTAAATGACCTGATATTTAAAATGGTGACCACTTATGTCAAAGAGACTCAACAGCTACTATTGAGTGGCTTTAGTTATCTCAAATACATAGCAGTAAAAGGGATGGCCACTTACAGAACCACCAGGCTTGAAAGGTTGGCAAATGCAAAGTCAGGGATGCTTGAGATGTTGTTAAGAGCCAAGGTCAGCGCCTGCAAGGTTGGCAGGTTGCTGAGGGGGCGCACAGGCACCTCAGTCAAGCTGTTGTCATCCAGCCACAGATGCCTTAACTGAACAAGTCCTTCAAAGCTGTCCTCGGGGACTGAGATAATATGGTTGGCATCTAGGCGTCTACGAAACAGAAACATCCAGTCAGTAATGAGTTCTAGTGGAATGAGTCAATTCGAGGCATATAATTCTAAAGCTTCCAAAACAAAAAGGAGTGATAAAAACAGTCACAGCATCTCTTCTTTCTTTAATTGTGCTAAAATCAAACAAACAAAAACACCTCTCCAAGATCACTACTTGAAAGTTCTTTCCTTAGTATGCAACAGAGAAACATATAAATCAAAATCCTTCAACTACCTTGGGTTAACATATAACTTAAAACTCACAAAGCCCAAATTAGACATTTATACTTTGGAGTACTTTTATCAAAGACACGGAAAGCAGGTTGGAGTGATGGCTTAGTAGGGTAAAGCACTTGAGTAAGTATGTAGCTTGGTGTTCAGATGCTCAGAACCCACATACAAGCCAGTGGGCATGGCAGCTGCTTATAGTTCCAGCAATGGGAAGGCAGAAACAGGGTCCCTGCAGCGAGCTGACTAGCTATATTGCCATGACCCTGCCTCAGCAAATAAGGTGGAGAACAATTTAGGAGGTTTCTTGACATCAACATCAGGCTCCACATGCACCCACATATGTCCACATACACACAAACATGCATACACACATGTACACATGAAAAAATACAGAAAGCACAAAAAATGAAGCTGAGAAAATAAGCTTCTTTGCTTCCAATGTCACAGTATAACTACCATCTTATATTAAATTTAATTGTTACTCTGCTTGATACCAAAGGGGAAAATGAGAAAATCTTTGCTATTTTTTAATAGCAATAAACCATTCCAGTAGATTCTCAACTATTTTATTACCATCAGGCCAGCTAAAAATGAGTCATATATTGGCAAAGCAAATTTCTCTTTTCTTTTAGCACTGTTTTAAAAAATTAATTTGCCAGAATTGTTATAAAAGGTCAAATTATCCATAGGTAAATTAAACTCCTGTTCCAATCAATGCTACTACTGTGGCTTTAAAGCGTCTTCATTTTTTCTGAAAATTCTGGAATTAATGGACAGCTTCTTAATAGGATTATTCATGTTTAAAATTAAGTGCCCATCTAAAACTCTAGAAACTAAATCCTAAGTGTTACTACTGTTGGCAGAACCAAGTGCAAGTACTAGAATAATCACTTTTCAATATAAAGACAGCTTGGTATTTATATGATAAGGGACAGTATGCACCAGGAAATCACAACTTTCTTCATAAACCCTTGCTGATGTTTGTTTCTGTCTCACAACCCTGGATGTCTCTGTGAAAATTAGGGAACAGAAAAAAAAAACCTGATGAAAACTCACAATGACATTTCCTGTAGCCCCAGCTGTCCTGGAACTCACTACATAGACCAGGCTGGCCTTGAACTCACAGAGATCTGCCTCCCAGTGCTGGGATTAAAGGCATGCGCAAATGGAATCTGGAAACTTTCAAGTTAAAACATTCCGAGTTTTAGAGAGACTCCTGTGCCTCTCATTTCCTTATGCTGCTCCAACTTCAGTCCTTGCCTTTGTTGGGACTTTCAACCTGCAGGGTGGTGGGCTCCCACTCTCAGCTACTTGCCCCCAGCCCCAGATGTATTCTTCTTTCTGGAGGCAGATCAACAGGGTCAAATGACCATAGGTTTTAGTGAATGACTAATGGACACTCTCTTTATGACAAAGTCAATACTGAAAAAGGGAGATCTTAGGAAACTGAGGGTCTGCTTGTGACTTCACTAGGAATAAATATTTTAGGCTTGTGTTCCTTGGGTATTTCTAGCATTTACCCCTGAAAAGGGACAGGTATCATGGATCTAACAGACTGGCAAAGTACTGGCTACAGAGCTGTTTAGGACATTTGCTTTAATAAACGGATAGAAGACTGTTCAAACAGATATAATTCACAACCTCTGGGAACCCATTCTTAGGATGAGACATTGCACATAATCAGATGATTAACCACAAAATGTAACTGAGTTATACTTGTACACAATTTGATTAGCTGCAATTCATTCCACATTTAAACTATCTTGTTAGGCACAAAGCATGAAACGGTGAAGAGAGAGAAGAATGAGGTTTGTCCTCATGACACACATTCTGGGGATGAGGGATGCACAAACCCATAAATTACAACTGAACAGTGTGCTGAAAAAAGGCAGTGAAGTAAACAACCAGGGAACCGGAAAAATGATGGACACCACCTAAAATGTACTTGGTCAGGAAATGCATCTTTAAAAAGAGGATCTCTAAACAAATCGAAAGATTAGCAAGAGAAGTAGAAGCTGTAGTTGGCAGGAAGTGTTTTAGGCAAAGGTCAAGGACAGAGATCGAGGAGCAGAAACTGGCTTGGTGAGATCCTTGGCTCCCAGAAGGTCAGAGTCA